TGTCGGCAAAAGATCGCCGCATTTTGATAACTCGTTGGGTCGGTGAAGCTTACCGTAAAACATCCAAAGACGAGAAACCTTTTCGTATGCTTTATAGGAGCTTTGCGAAAACAGGATGTCTTATCACGGCTGATGGTAGCGAGGACGATAAGATAAATCCTGAAGGCATGCCTGCTTATGTTGTTCCACCCCCTGTTGACATTGACAACCTGGTGGAAATCACAGAGACTCCTATTCCAGACGAAGTAAAGGATAACCCTACTGATGTTTTGCCTGACGAATCAGACGGAGAAGACGAGGAACTAGATGGACAAGTAGACAAATCAGACGGACAAGAAAACGAAGAAAGTGGAGATAAAGAAAATAAAGATCCAGTTGAAGAGAGAAACATTTGTGATCTTTTTTTTTATTAGAATTTAAGTGATTTTAGTTGTAAAGGGCACTCTTCTGTTAAAGACTTGATATTAAACCGTATTTTGTCTCTTATTCGTAAAAACACTGAAGTTTAGCAACCATTAAGCAACTCGAGATATAGAAATTGGCTGAAAAATAAGCAACTCTAGTTCTGATCAAAATTCTAAGTTGCTTATACAAAAAAAAATCGTGTACTTTAACTTAATTTGTAGCAAACAATTATTTAAAGAGTTTAGACGTGTGTTTTGGGTCTTTTTCTTGTTAAAAAATACATACAAAAATCAAGTTATTATCAGCTTTAGTAACCATCTTTTCCTGAAGAATATATATCGATAAACAAAACAATCCAGAATGGATTTCCGCTCCAACTCCACTAAAACCAAAAAACAACCCCAAACCATTGGACCATTCCACTTGTGTATTTAAGATACAAACATTTACCTTTATGTCTACGTACCATTGAATTTTTATGGCCTTTAGGACTTTTTAAATTGAACTTTGATTCATCGCTACGCAATACTCTCTGCAATACTCTTTTCCAATCTCTGCAATACTCTTTTGCAATAATTAGTAATCCAGTGTTTACAAATTTAGTTTTAGAAACTGGATTCTTCTGAAAATTGAAAAGTTTTTTTACTTCAGAAGTTGTAACAAAAAGTTATAACTGTTTGCAAACTACATTTTTGGATACTGAAAGTTTCAGATTTTGGAATGGTAACTTTGGCGTTGTCAAACGGATTCTTTTAGACTTGAAAAATAAATTTTCTTTTAGTAAAGCAGTATATTATGCGTTGCCTTCTTCCTTTGTGTATATATATTATATATATATATATATATATATATTATATATATATATATATTATATATATATATATTATATATATATATATATATATATATATATATATATATATATATATATATATATATATATATATATATATATATATATATATATATATATATATATATATATATATATATATATATATATATATATATATATATATATATATATATATATATATATATATTTATATATATATATATATGTATATATATATATAAATATATATATATATATATATATATATATATATATATATATATATATATATATATATATATATATATATATATATATATATATATATATATATATATATATATATATATATATATATATATATTAAAATAAAGGACCCAGTAAATATTTAATGCACACGTAAAAAAAAATTTATTCAAAAAAAATTTTTTTTGAATAAAATGAGCGTCAATGTTTGTTTTTTTTAGATGGTAAACCTAAGAATAATGATATATAAAAGATTACTTTTTTAACATTTAGTTATTATTTTGTATTGTAATAATAAATAACTCAACCTGTTTTGTTGTTAAAATTTCTTACGCTTTTTGATACGTTTGTAAACAAACCATTTGAAACTCAATTTTTAAAAAGCTAAAAAAAATTTTTAGAACTTTTAAAACTTGAAAATTTCTCAAAAACGTTTTTAACATGTTTTTAGTTTTTGAATAATATTAGCTCAACTGCCTGTATATAATTGGTCTTATGTAATGTATTATTCTTATAAATTAATTGTATCATAATCAAGCATTAATTATTTCAGCGATTAATCAACTACATCCTCTTTGTTTTTTTATTCTAAATTTATAATCATTGGCGTCTTCATAACTAAGGTATTTTTTCATTAAGTTTGAATTAATTATTGTTACTACAAATACTGAGTTTGAGCACGGATTGGAATATATGTCAGGGTTAAGTTAAATGTTAAGGTTAAGCGAAATAATTTATCAAACTTCAGGCATAAAAAAACATTTTTTTTTTTGCTATAAAACTGTGTATAAAAATTAAATTGCAAAATTTTAACAATATTTATTTAAATCTTAAATTTATAAACTATAAATAGAAATGCAAGTTAATGCATTAAAAAAAAAAACCGTGGCGAGCGTTGAAATCAGTTTTAATTGGTCAAACTTATATTCAATATTTTTTATAACTTTTTTTTTATTTTTAATTATCAATTTTATCAAAAATGAACGATTATTAAAAAGTGTCTATAATTCAATTACATTTAGAAATGGTAGCAATATTGATAATGTGTACATATAATAAATACTATTACGATACATGCATATATCATAAATATTATCATGATATATACATTGAAAATTAAAACAATATTAAAAATAATAATTTAAAACAGAATATTAGTCAAATGACGGAACAGTAACAAATTGCATAACAAAGGCAGATAATATTTAATGATAATAATAATACAAACCGTCATAAAAACTTCTACAACAACAAATATATATATATATATATATATATATATATATATATATATATATATATATATATATACATATATATATATATATATATATATATATATATATATATATATATATATATATATATATATATATATATATATATATATATATATATATATATATATATATATATATATATATATATATATATATATATATATATACATATTATATATATATATATAAACTTCTACAACAACAAATGTATATATATATATATATATATATATATATATATATATATATATATATATATATATATATATATATATATATGTGTGTGTGTGTGTGTGTGTGTGTGTGTGTGTGTGTGTGTGTGTGTGTGTGTGTGTGTGTGTGTGTGTGTGTGTGTGTGTGTGTGTTTAACATATTATACATATAAAAGTCTTGTTGGTTTATTTTTATATTTGTCCCAAATATTGTATAAAAAAAACTTATTATGGCAATTGTTTTAGAAATTATTAAACTTTTTGTTTAATAATTTTATAAATATTTAGTTTTAGTTCAAAATGTTTGGAAATATGTTCAAACAATTAATAGCCAGGTTCCTCGTGCAGCAGAAATTTTTGCTTCTGATATAATCAAAACAGACTTCGCAGCATTCAACAATGGAAATCAAACGTTATTTTAGCAAAAAAGGTTGCGACTGTAACAAAAGAGTCAATTCTTTATGATGTTACTGTTTTAATCCTGTTTTTGTAATGAAAAATAACCGATTTCAATATTTCAAAGTCTTCTTTGAAACATTCATAGCAATTTTTTCCAAACTTGGTTGGTAAGTTCAACCAGGAATAGCAGTAAAATGAAGTCAATGCGACAATCTAATTTAATCTTTTTATAGCTTTACAATTATGAATTTTGACAAGACAAGTGTTTTTCTCACCTTTAATAGAAGACAGTAAGTCTGAACAAATTGAATGATTGTTGCACGTTTAAAGATGCCAAAGAAATGTATTCATGATATCATACAGCATATCAAGTCAACCGATGACATCAATCTGAAAAACCCTGTGGAAGACTAAGAACTAGAACCTAAAAAATTGACAGCTTGATGTGCTGTTTGTTTGTGATTGACTTACCAATTTCAAGCTCGCATGTTTTACTCCGTTTTAGTGTAAATGTTAGCTCCGTACAGTTCGAGGACGCTTTGCCAGGACTTTAATCTTTGATTGTACCGTACTGCATTAGAGCTTCGTTTTTCTCATTAAAATACTCGTGAAATTTTATTCAGGATAACTTGCCATCCGGCAAAAAATGTCAAAACTTATTTTCAAGAAAATGAAGTTATTGTTCTTGCATCGTTGTCGGGCAATTCACCTAAATGTTGCTGTTAACGCAACAAGTTTTTAAAGTTCGATGAGCTCGTACAAAGTACAATACAAGTTTTATACTTGTCTTCTTTAGTCTTTTATGCTCATGAAAGTATTTTGAATTAAAACGTTTTCTAGCATTAAACGCGCTTATTTTAAAGTACTAAAACAATGTTTTGCTATAAATATTGGGTAGTTAGATTTTTTTGGTCGTATATGTATATAATATGTTTAAAACTGTGTAGATGCAACTTTTTTTGCCGTTTAAACAAAGGTATGCATTAAAGATTTTTATACTAATGTTTTTTTTCATTTGAATCCTTATTTACGAATCGTGAGTCTAAGTTAAAATTTAAGGATTTAGTTGAGACTGAGTAATATGGCCAGTACTCGCTGAAAATAATAATTTTGAGAAGACTTTAACAAAGAATATATGGTTGATAGTAAATTTGTTAAATATTTAAGGCATTTGTGTGTTATAAATTTTTTCTCAAGCTGATAATCACTACGAACACGTGACATTGTTAGACATTGTTCGTGCTTATGAGTGCGGCATGTGCACATAGCCATGAACAATGCCTGCGTGTAACATAACTAGTTATAGAACTATGAATCATTTTTACTTATAAATATTAATACTGCTACAATAAAAAAAAATACTATTACTGTTACTACATTAAAAAAGTTTTAGAAAAAAATTTTTTTGATTTTTAAATATTAATTAAAAAAAAAAAAAATGAGTATGGCTAAAAAGTATGTGTAAATAGCTTTAAGACTAGGATTGCATACATTCCAATATAACATAAATAATGAAAAATCGTATGCTCAAATACAAATATAATGACGGTATAATACTAATTAGAACTATACGACATCTAAAAAATAAGTGAAACAACTAACTTATATATTAAAAAAATTTACTTAAGAGACGTCAAAATATTTTCGAAAACTCCCACCTGAACTTCGCAGTATCGCGTTCAAAATTACGAATACTTATCAAATAGCAAAAGTTTTAAACATGGCGTCATAGTGAACTTGTAAGTGTTGCTTTAGATTTTCAAATACTAAATAAAAAGTGCAAGTGTACAGCAGTGTTATTTAATAGTAATTCGCAAAAAAGTTGGAGCCGATCGTCAAAAATTTTTATCAAATAATAAATGAATATATAAATTAATTATCTTACATTATTTAATTATTAAAATCATAAAATATAAAAAAAAAACTATTTAAAAAAATTTTGCAATATTTTATCTATAGCAAAAAGTCAAATGAACTGATCAAACAATAAAATGAAGCATATTTAATATTAATTTTTTATTTTTCTTATTGAAATATATAAATAAGAAAATTCAACGTGGAATAAATTAGTTATCAAGATAACACAAATCAAATGTCTAGCTTATAACAAAGCATTAACAAGAATTTAGTGGTTAGCTTGTCTGCAAAATACCAACATTATTAAAAACATCGCATTTTAAAGTAATTTTTCGTTAGCTCGGAATACAAGTGTCCTATCGATAATTTATTAAAATTATATATAAAAAATGGAATTATCTAATTTATGTAAATTTAACATTATGTTTATGAAAAAAAAATATTTTTGTATAACGTTATATTGCAAAGTTATACAAAAATAATTTTTTATATTTACATATCAATGAGTTTACATAAATTAGACAATTACATATTTATATACAATTTTATCAAATTTTTGATACGACACTTGTAATCCGAGCTGACGTTTTGTTTTAAAGACTGTAATTTAGAGTAAAATTGTTTTTTATTATTGCACTACAGTGTAATAAAAAATAGTAAAAGTAAAAACAGTGAAAGTAAATATAAATATGTAAATATAACAAATAGCAACAAATTAATCTAAAACTCCCCTAGCCAAACAAACGAAAATGATTCTGAGGTTTATGCAGGGTTAAAGTTTTATAATTTTTATAAAATTATAATTCTATATAAACCTCATCAATGACATGTTTACATTGCTATTATTTTATCTTTCATTATTAAATTTAAAACCAAACTAAAACAAACTTTAAAATTTATGTTTCTATTTTATAAAATGTTTTCTCTTTATCACTATGCTTTACCAAATAACGGACAATTACTTATTTGCATTATTTTAACAAAATGTATTTTTGTAATCAAAATTTTTCAAAGTAAATAACAAATTTAAGTTTTGTCTAAATTTTGAAAAAAACATATTGGGTCTGAAGACACTTTTTTACATAAAGAAACTTCAACACCTACAACTAAATCTTATTGGAGCATATTTGAAGGCTGAGATTTCCACTATAGAGTAAATTTTGTGTTGGATTTGTCGATAATCTGCATAGCTTGGGAAGATTTTATTTATAATATATAAAGCAGAGTTTTTTTAACAACTTGTTTTAGCAACTTAGTATTAGTATTTTCAATATGTTTATTTTGAAAATTGTCTTAACAATATCATTGGAAACTTTGGTATGTATATAAATGGTTTTCCTATTCCAAGCTATTCCTTTTTTTCATGCGTATAAAATGATTCTCCCATAAGATTTCAGTTTTTTAAGTGTTTACTCAAGAAAGCCTTGTGGCTTGAGTACATAATTTGTGTACATAAACAGTAAGTTGACTCTTATCAACAGGTTACCTACTAGACTTTATGAAATTTGATTGAATCCACCCCCTCTCTTCTTGTCTAATAAATAAAATGTTAATGGAATTTTTTCAAAAATCATTTGCAGCCATCAAGAATTTTTAAGTTATTTTTCAGAAATATTTGACGGCTGATATTTTTGAAGAAATATTTGATGAAGCTTTTAAAATTATCTTTTTTAAATTTAATACAATTCAATAAACTAATATAGTGCTGCATAAAAAAATAACAGCAAAATAGTATTTTCTTTTGCTAAGTAATATTATTATGGTTTTCTCAGTAATAATGTTATGGTTTTCTCAGTAATATTGTTATGGTTTTCTCGGTAATATTATTATATTTTTCTCAGTAATAATACTATGATTTTCTCAGTAGAGTTCAATAAAAAGCTCTCAGCATTCGCAGCTTCATCAATCGACATTCAATAATTATATCTACAAAAAACTGTTTTTTTTTAATGGTAAAATTTTTTTAAGGTTCATAGAGTTTATTATAACGAGTTTTGCAAAAAGGTGTTTAGACGAAAAACATTAAAGCAAACTTTTTGCTATGTACAATTTTATAAGAAATCTTTTTGTTATTAATTTTATACAACAGTTAGTCATAAGCTACATCCACGTCACACACGCTATTAGCAAAATGTAAATAATCTATAAAGCTGCTCATCTCCCCAATTAGTTTCTATGTAGAAGTCGCTGCCGCCAAAACAGCATAGTTTTCAGGAATTTCAACATCCTTTTGACTTTTTGTCTTTTTGAAAGTTTTGTTTAACCTTAAATATTTTCTTTGCTAAACAGTTTTATTGCACAATCAGCATTACAAAATTTTTCTAACGGTCTTGAAATCGGGAAATTCTCTCATATCAATTGTCAGAGTCAATTCAACTATTATGGATTGCTAACAAATCCTAATAAATTTATCTATCTAGTAACCAAGACTAACAAAACAAAGTTTTTCTTAACTTTTTTTTAAATAAAACAAATTTTTTTAAAATAATAATAATGATCCTGTCGTAAAAATCTTACGTCATAAGTTAAACTACTTTAATATTTCGGAAGTATCTCACGTAAGTGACGTACGTAAGTGCGTCAAAAGTTGGTTTTCAACAATATATTTTTAACATATGTGTTTATTATTTATTTATTTATAATTTATTTATAGTTAACACATATGGTTGCTACAAAGGTAACAAATAATGTTGTTACAAAAACATAAAGTTGTTAAAAAGGTAAGGTTTATATTCGGTTAGTTTAAGTCAATTGACACTTATCCTTTAAAATTATATATCATTTTAAATATAAATCGTAAAGTAAACAATAAATACATAAATAAACAAGCAGCCAAATAAATTGAATAAAACTAAGAAAAATATAAAACTTTCATTTTATTCTAGTTTACTAATGTATCCGATATCTTTCATAAAAACCTTACATAGTTTGCATGAGCATTGCTTTGGAAAAGGGACTGGCACTAAGAAACCCTGAGGGGAGAGATATAGATGCAAGACCGCCTTACTTATCAAAATTTCCCTGTATTGGTCGAGGCGAACTTCCTGGTTAAATGCACTTCTGCGGGGCTCTGTGACAAGATCGTTAGGTCTTCTTGTGGCACCTAAATAACAAACAAAAACAAAAAAAAAATTTCAGGCCCTAAGCACGATTGAGATTCCAACTCTTACTTCGTCGTACAAATATTAGTGAAGTTTGGTTTTTCGTATCTCAGGTTTGATTTAAGAAACTTAATAGTTTTCATAGATATTGGTGCCAGTGACGGATCCAGGATTTTTTGGTGTTTGAGATAATTTCTAGACATAAAGCAAACTCAAAATATTTGTATGTTTATCCTTATGTCAAATAATGAGACTTTGCGATGATTTGAAGCTGGGAACAAAAAAGCCCCCATCCCCCAAGCGTGAGGGCATCAAGTTGATATAATATTTTTTGTACTTATCTCAACTAGACTTATATTGTTTAATAAATTTTAAGTTTCATAGTATTATCTCTTAGCGTTCAATAATTATGACCATATAAAGTTTATACCCCCCTCAATTTGAGGGGGTTACAAACAACAACAAAATCGTCATCTGATTGGTGCAATATGTAATTTGAGTTTAAAAATCTCAGTAACTAAATAATGTTTTTATAGTGTATATTTAAGGTTTTATGGTGTATATTTAAGTTTTTATGGTGTATTTTTAAGTTTTTATGGTGTATATTTAAGTTTTTATGGTGTGTATTTAAGGTGGTTTACCACGAAATTAAACTGATATTTTTGAAATTTTTCAAATTTTAAGTTCAAATTGTTTTAGAACAAATTTTTACCACTTAATTCATTTCTAAAATCTGTTTTAAAAAATATTAGATATAAAAGGTTTTATTTAAGATTTAAGTAAGATGGTCAAACATATTCTCATAGCAACCGCCCATAGCAACACACTTTTCTCTCTTGTTTTGGATTTATTTTTGTATACTTGGCATATTTTTTAAAAACTTGAATTTCAGTATGATGGACAAGTTTGTTCAATACCGTAGATTGCAATAAAATACATTGATTTTAAATGTTATGTAAGCAATGAATAAGTGATAGAACTACAGAATGTGTGAATGTATCTTTATTAATGAAGATGTTAATGGATCTTAATTGTTTATTATTTAATTTTTTCTAATATTAAAAAGTAATGGCAAATAAAAAGAATCATATGAGAAAAGTTAGGAGAAGATTCTCTGGTAACAAGTTCCAAAAAGCAAGTGATAAAATAGTAGATTCAACTTTACTAAAAAAATCATGTAGTGCTAGGAAGCTTAGCAAATTTAAATTGAATGTGAAACAGTGCGCAGATGATTTTAATATGATTATATATTTCCCTATTCTCAAAAAAAATTTGATGCAAGTTGGTAGCTGCCCAGATTGTCAAAATGGAGTAACCATAAATAATGATAGATCAAAGAGAATGGGTTTTTCACACAGTTTAAAAATCAAATGTACATCTTGTTCATTTGAATGGTGTACTTTTACAAGTAATACAATGGATAAAAACACACAGACTAAAGGCAGGAGTCCTTTTGATATTAACTTAAGAATGGTTGTTGCTTTTCTTGAGATTGGTCAAGGACATGAACCAATGAGTCATTTTGCTTATATAGCAAATATTAGTTGCATGAATGTAAATGCTTTTCAACGTAATCATAAAGTGATTCAAGCTCCCTAAGATTCTGCTGCTAAAGATTGTATGAAGTTTGCTGCAAATGAAATTAAAGCAAATGCTGTTGAGATATCCCCTACTGGTGTTCCATTAATACAAGTTTCTCTTGATGGTACTTGGCAAAAATGAGGACATTCTTCTCTTAACGGTGTAGTTACTGCTATAAGCGGAGGTCGATGTGTTGATGCAGATGTATTAAGCAGGTATTGCAGAGGGTGTCAAATTTGGTTCAACAGGAAACAACATCCCAGTTATGAAAACTGGA